AAAACGTGGGTGGGTCCTGTTGTCACAAAGGGGAACCACTGAATCCAACTGGGCACAATCCTAGGAAGCACTCTTTCCACAGCATGACTTTAAGGAGGTGCCACCAAGTTCTCATTGTCCCTGGAAGGCCCGGCTGAAACATCATTGAATCACTAACATGACAGAATTCTAACACGAACGTAACACTTGAGGAGGCAGGCTTAGTTACAGGGTGTCTTGCCCATGCCTGGAGAAGCAGGCTCCCAGGAGGGGCCAGAACGGAACTGCCAGTCCTTACTGTCTCCTTCTGCCACCCTAAGGGAGCCCAGAACCATCTGGCTGCATTGTTCCTGCTACTACCCTGTGTTTCCAAGAAAATCCTACATGCAGCAAGAAAAAAAAAAAGCAGCTTTACTTTAGAAATGTTCAAAATCTGTTTAGTTAGTAAAATGATTTTAAATAACATTTTTTAGATTGTGGATTAAAAAAAAACGCCTCTGGAACAGAACTGACTTAAGTATGAGAATGGAGGTCAGCCTGCATGCTGATACACCTGCCACGTGAGTCCCGATCAGAGCCTCAGCCCGTTCCTCCGACTCAGCAACAAGGACATGCGGGGAACTGCCTGTTTCCTCCAAGCAGATGGCTCCTGGCTTTTCAAACAGGTGACTGTAAAATCAGCAGGATATTTCAAGAATGAGCTGATTAAACACACCAACTTGTTTGCTGAATGAACGCCCACTACACCTGGCACCTGAGCCCCACCTGCTTCCAGGTAAAGGAAGAGATGCTCGTTTTAACCCTACATGCCTGGGGGTGCAGTCCGTGTTGGGACCACTTCTCCCTCTTCCTTCGCTTTCTTCACCCAAGCTAAGCCCTCTGCTCTGGAGCCGCCGGACTTCCTTCAGGGGACGAGGAAGCCAGGCTGGCCGCCGGCTGGAGACTTACACTCTTAACGCCTGGCTTGGTGAGACCCAGACATAGAACTTCAACCAAGCAACTCAAACTAGCATTCTATTCCTGAGGCTTCTTTAAGGGAAGAAAAATGATTAGTTTTTACTTTTTGGTAAAAATCATAAAAATATTATTTTTAAACTTATTGCTTTTGTTTTTGAAGATCCATGGCTGTGAGTGTGGTGTGCGCTCATTCCTTTACTCAAGAGATGCTTATTGGGTTGCACAACACACAAGGCATCCTGCAAGGAAAACCCTTTGCCATCAGTCACACAGGAAACTGCCTTATTTTCTGCTCTCTTTCCAAGGTCCGGAATAGCTCTCGGCATAGAGTAGAACCCTAACGCATTTTGTAATGAAAGAATTACACACTGAGACAAGAGGTACCCGCATTCCTCCCCTACCAGGAGTTCCTGTAGTGATGAAAATCAGTATAAAGGCCTCGCCTTTGACAGTCTCTACAGCCAGTTTTTCCTGGAGCTAGAATCAGGTAGGCCCCACAGGATGCACACAGCCTTCCAGCAACTTAGTTCCCCACCAGATGTTAACTGATAACCTACTATGTGCAATTTCCTCTCCTACACATTGGGCCATTCAAGAACACATAAGATATAGTCCCTGCTTTCAAAGAGTTTCTATGCAAACAAAAACTTAACAGTTGCCACAAAGGGACCACTGAACCCATTCACAACCTAAGACAATTGAACACAATCCCAAGAAGAATGGGAAAGACTCTTTGTGCAGCACCGAGGCCAGGGAGGTAGCAGGCATAAAGGAGAACTCAAAGAGGTCAAAGACTGGGTGACTACAGAAGACAGGTCTTGAATTAGGCCCTGAAGCCCAGAGGGAGAATGAAAAAAGGGCATAATAGGAATACAGGTGTGTGTGTGTGCATGTGTGTGTAGTGTGTGTGCAGTGTGTGTATGTGTGTGTGCACGTGTGTGTGTTGGGAGGGTCGAGAGAATGGGAGTATACAAGGCATGCCAAGAGCTAATTCTGTCCAGCAGGATTTGAGTCAACTGAATAAATATTTATTGAGTTCACACCATGTGCCAAGCATTGTGATAGGTACCAGGGATACAATGGTTAAGAAGACCGATATGGTCCCTGGCTCCCTGGCTGGTGGAAGATACAGACAAGCAAACAGACGATGACAATACAGTGTGATAAGTGCTGTGCTAGGGAAAAGCCCAGGTGTTATGAGAAGGACACAGAATGGACCTGGCCCAGGTGTGAGGGCCAGGAAAGCTTCCTAGAAGAAGGGGTGTCAAGCTGACACTGGAAGCCAAAGTAGGAATTAGAAGGTGAGCCGGTGCAGGTTGGTTGTACAACACCTACCCTAGCAGAGCACGTGCGCTGGGCCCCGGGGATCTGAGGCTGGCTGGCTTTGCCAGACTGCAAGGGGGAGGGGAGCTGAGGGATGGGGCCGGAAGCAGTGGCCGGTCCTGCAGGCTCCTGTACTCAACATGAAGGGGTCTGGACTTTATCCTGACAGCACTGGTAACCACTGAAGAATTTTAAGCAAGGGAATGAAAGAAACATATTTGCATTTGGGATAGATAAGTCTCTGCAGTGTGAGATGGCCCTTAGAGGAGAAATGGGAGATGAGGCCAGAAGGGTAACAGGTAGATTCTTGAAAGTCTACCCTAACACAGTACAAGAACTAAATAGTTGAGGAGTGAATGAAGGAACTGGTCAACCTATCCTTCAATCATCCAGCGCAGGAGGGAAAACAGGAGGCTTGAGGTGGAAGATACAGTTTTCTGTGTGTGTGTAAGGGTCAGAGGGCACGCACGTCGGAACATGGACACATCTTCAAATCTTAAACTCATCAGACAAATGATAGCAACAGTGGGCAGTGGAGCGCAGCGAAACCGATGGAAACAGCTTCAACGCTGGAGTTAGAAGACCCATGTCTGAGCTAGAGGTTTGCCAGTTAATTTTGAGTTGCGCCTTAATCTCTCCAACCCTCTGGTCCCACATTACATCTGCTCTCTGTGTGTAACTGCCAAGCAGTATAAAATGCGAATGGTTATCCCAATCTATGTACAGTTCTGTTCTCAGCGGAAGTTTAGGAGCTACGGTGGGATGTGCAGCCTGGTGGCATTTCTCAGTCACCCACTGTAAAAAGTAGTTGGTGCAATCTGTATTACAGGGAAGTCGTGGTTTATCTGAAAGGGAATTTTAAAAAATGAGTAGCCAGTACTGTTCAAACCTGGGGCAGTTTACTCTCAACCTTGTCCATCGGAGACCCTGGCAGTAAGATTGGGGGAAGGACATAGAGAGCTCATCTCCATTGCCACCCCAACGCAGGGGAGTGACAGCAGAAATGGGCAGAAAAAATAATGCACTTGAAGGCCACGGGGTCGGTGAGGTGCCTTGGAGATCACACACAGCCATTTAGGGGCAGTGTAGACTAGGCTCAGGTCCCCAAAGTTCAACGCTCTTTTCACGACTTCACCCTGTCAAATTAATGACAACAATTTTAGAGCTTATAAAGGATAACAAGGTCCAAACTGGAGGTCTTCTTACAATTGTGTGGCTGTAGCTGCCAGCCAGCGCTCGATGACCTTACTGAAAGAGAGGGCAAAATGGGGCTCGTGGCTGGAGGCCATGAGGTGTCTGGGGACCTGGCTGCTAGAAAGGGGGAGAAAGAAGCCATCGTGAAGTATGCGGGTGGGGCTGCGTCGTGGTGGCAGAGAAAGCAGGGTGAATCATGACACACGTGGATCCAGACGTGTTAAACCAAAACACAAGGGAAGAGAAGAAAGAGCAGAAGGTGAAAAACAGGTCTGGGAGAAGGTTCCCGAAGATGGGCTAGTGAGCCAGCTCCACAGAAAACACTCCATGTCACGCCAGCTCAGAGCAAGGCAGCTCTGGGCTCCACGGTGCCTTCAGGTCAAAGAGAGCAGGCAGAAAGCGACTGTGTTTTTAGAAACTTGAGACACTCAGACGCTCCACCTTGCAAGCTTTCTCAGATCATCCCCTTCCTTCTCCCCCCAGTGCGATCAGACACTTCCACCTCTGCCCGTTCTAGTCTGGCCTTTGCTTTTTCCTGCACAGGAGTTTCCACATCACTGAACCAAGAACTTCATAAAAACAAGAATTCCTTTGAGAAATGAAATGTTTCAGCTTGAGGCCCTGGGTCCCCACACTTCTAAACCACCTCCTAAAAAAGCAACATAAAGACTCAGCTGTTCTGTGTGGGGGTCCATTTCATCTTTATGATGAAGTAAAGCTTGACTGAATTATTTTTGTTTGTTTTCATCACAGAGTTAACCCCCAGCAGTTGGGTGTAATCTATCCTCCTTAAAGACTCCAGTCACTCAATCACAACAGAAAGGCCACTTTCCGTTTCTCCAGGAAAATTCCAGTGCAAATAGTATGGAAGTAAGTTGACGAAATAATTCATCCTCTCTAGTGATCACGCGCCAGTGATCCCTCAGTGAGAGTTCATTGTCACGGGCATCTTACACAACCTGCACACCTGTCATTTCAGGCACAGACGTCTACAGCAGCCATCTCTTTATCGAGATTGAAATCCACGAGTCTTCTGTACTCTAATCCACTTCACCATCCACATTGTTTAATCGAGCCCTTTACTACAAATGGTTTTAGGCTCTGATGCAAGACAGGAATTTGAAGCATGCATTCGAGTATTTCATGGTGTTAATTTCTGGTGCACACAAACATCAGCTTCACTCAACAATCCAATAATCTTGCAAAATAAGGAAAATACGCCAGAGAATGAAATGCAGCATGGAATTCTTCAGGACTGCAAGCAAAGCAGTTCTGTGATCCTGCTGCTCCTGATAACAAAATTTATCTGCCTATTTACAGACCCTTGAAGATGTTAAAAGAAATAAAGGGAAAAAAAAGACAGAAGTGCTTTCAGATGGAGGAATCACTCTATCCTTCACATTCGAACATGTTTAGTTGGCTACTTTAAGCTCTTAAACATATCCCAAGTTAATTTCAAATGTAACACATCTGATCTGAACAAACGATGGACAGTCCTTATTGTTTTTGTTTTTTAACTGGCAGGCATCACTTGAAACAAATCCTACCTGGAAATATGGATGGTCTCTTTTTCGGGCGCCTCAGGTGAATGGGTTCCAAGTTTTTAATGTTCCTTTGAAGTCTTCCTTTAATGTCATTTCCTATGAGCAATTCAGGTGGCAGGCTACTCCGTCTGGATGATTTACAGTCATTCTGAGATGAATTTAGTTTGTTCTTCGTTCTGGAATATAAATTGCTGTCATCAACTGCCATGGTAGGAGATACATTAGATTTTCTTAACAAAAATCTGAAAAGCCAAACCCAGCGGCAGCCACCGCCATCCCCACCCCAGATTCAGACGTTCTGGTGCTTTACCCGCACTTGTTTGGGAAGCTAAGCAAGTTGGTAGGCGTGGACTTGAACAGGTGTAGAATTACTCAGTAGCCCCTCCCTTCAACAGTTAATAGCAAGGGGGAGGAGAGATCCAAAAAAATCATTAGGTACAGAAGACTGAGGAATGTGAACAGATGTGGCACACGGGTAATAAAAGCGGTATAATGGTTACCGTGTGAAATTGCTGTTTTATCAGTGCAACGCCGTAAAGCAAACACAACTTACTCTTTACGGATGAATATCTATGCAAGTGGCCAGTCTAATTATTATTATCAGTTCCCAAACTCGTGTAGATTTTCACAAGTTTTCGAGAAGCATTTTTACATTCCCTCCTATCTTTTTTGTTTCAAACTACACACGCAGAACAAACATCCGTCTTTATGAAATTCCTTATGTGGCAGGCAGCCAGCTGGAAGTTGGCTGGACAAGTTGATGAGAGATGGTTGGTGATGATCAGGAAGGAACCCGTGGTGGGTGTGTACCGCCGGGAACCCAGCACGGCTCCCCACCCACCCCTTCCATCCTGTGCTCTACCTGGCAGATGGCTTCTCAAAAAGTTTTAGCTGTCTGGCGGGGAAGTCAGAGGTCTAGCAAACAAGCTGTGACCGTGCAAGTGATGGTGGCCTCCACTCAGCAAATGAAAAGTAAACGTCGTTATCCTTGTGGGGATTCTGCCTTGCGCTCAACTCAAATGGTCAACTGGTTTGCTGGTCTGAGGAAAAGCTGCATTTACTAGACTCCTGCTTCACCCATCCCAGATTTTCCTTCTTTCTCTCCCAGATTTTGCATTTTTGTGTCCTTTGTTTCTTTCCCCCTCACTCTATTGATGTGGAAACGTTCTGCCCTCTTTTCTTTAACTGACTGTGCAAAAGTCAGAACGCACTCATTTATTCTCTTGTGTCCGAGGGCAGTGTCTCCTCTCCCCCGCCCCTCCTCTCTCCCTATCTCTCTGTCTCTGTCTCTCACAGACACACACACTCTCCCACCTCTCTTAAGTTCCGTCTGGTTGCATGGTGAGTCAGGAGATAAAGATGATAAGATCTGCCTTTTCTCTTCCCAGTGCCTGGGATCAGTAGATACAGAACATCGTAAAGGATTTGGGGGTTGTTTCAGAAATCACTGTTAACTCCTGTTTCCTGGATGCCCAGTAGGCTATATTAGTTGTTAGAACGGAGGGGCTGAGTCTTTTCACCTAATTTAGGGCACACTTCCACACTCCTGTAAGTTTCACTCTCTTTTCTCCTTATGCTCTTTCAGCAATAGATAGGTCTTCAAACTACAAAAGATCTTCTGAAGAGAAAAAGTGTTTTTTTAACAAGTATGTCCAGATTTGGGTTGCATTTATAACCCATAAATTTTAATTATAATCCATATTTACACACTTACATATGAGATTATTATGTTATTTCACTAATTCTGAGAAACAACTACACCCTTCCCCTCGCAGGACTTAAAACTGTTTTGCCAAGTTGGAACATACCAAAATGTCAAAACAATGAGTGGCTTGTTCAAAACTACTTTGAAAAGCCCATGAGACTTCTTGAGTCTCCCTTAGCTTAATGAAAAGACACATTTTTTTCCTGTTAAAGACTTAAAAAGTACAGCATTATTTAAAGTTTAAGGTAATGATTTAATAGGAGAAGAAAATACATTTCCATAGTGAAAATCTCAAGAACAATGCTTGAGTTTCAAATATCTAGCAGGGTAGAGCCTAGGACGCAAAATACTGGGTGCTAACAGGGAGAAATCTAGCAACAGAGAAGCAGAAAGTTGAGCATTTAGTGACTGTGTCTTTCCCAATTCATGGTATCCTCACGGGGCTAAATAAGAGTATATATGAGATGAAATGGAGTCTCTGAGGAACAGTGTTACTATCACACACAGTGTGGAACTGGTAAGCTGCATCTTCAGGCTGGCTGTGCGCACCTGGAATGC